TATATAAATATATATATTATTCGGATCAGTTTTTTTTTTTATTTATTAAAATAATTTTTTTTTTTTTTTTTCCTTTTTTTTTTTTTTTTTTTTTTTTTTTTTTTTTTTTTTTTTTTTTTTTTTTTTTTAAAAAAAAAAGAGATATTACATAACTTATTTTTAGCATTAATCCGGGATATAAAGTTCCGTGCGGCAATGTGGATTTTTTTTTTTTTTTTTTAAAAAAAAACAACAAAAACATCAATCTGTATTTTTTTTTTTTTTATAATTAATTAATGTTAGGTAACGTTCATCTGTTTAGGCTGATTCAAATAATGCTGCGGTGACCATTAATAGAACAATCTTTTAATGACTGGATATGGGTTTGTGATGTGACGCAGTTGATATAGGATGTAACAAGGTAATCTTTAATCTTTTTTCCAAGATGCCTCCTAATGCATGACAATAAATAACAATATAAGGTCATGATAATAAGAATCAAAGATTCCTGTTTATGGAATGTTCTAATCATCCGGTCATCATCCTGATGGATGTATCGTGTGATCCATCAATGTTACTCCGCCTATCCGATTAAAGCGCAGACGTAGCCGAACTGTTCGCCTCATTCATTCATTTTTTTTTTTCGCGCAAAGACGCGTGGACTTGATGGAATTTTCTCTAAAAAAAATAAAAAGCATTGACCAAATTAGGAATTTGAATTTAGAACATGAATTAAGAAAATACGTTATCATGTCATGTAGATTGAAGATCCAATCAAATCAAGCAATTTGGCGATTTCCTTGTACGATATTTTTTTTTTTTGGACATGATCATCTGATCATTTTTTTTTTTCTTTGTCACAAATTGAAGGAAAGGCCAAAGATTTGATGTAGATTTTGAAATACATGACTTTTTGACATGATGTTGACTTGACAAATGAGGCCAAGATGTACCATCACAAAATTATTCGTGAACCTCGAACTCGTTATCATTTAACAAATTAGAAATTAACTTACATAAACGCGTAAAAATGAAAAAAAGAAATCACATTATATTTAAAAAAAAACATGTAATGATAATATTATGATTGTTCCGCGTGATATGATAAAGTAGTGTACCAACCTAAAGGAGAGACGAATATTTACGAACCTAAAATACGCGCAACTTGTGTATCTTGTTTTGGTTATTTTCGTTGATAAGTGTCACATCATTAGGTCGTTGCAATAAAATGTGTTAGCCCCCATTAGCCCTCCCCCCAAAAAAGTTCTCCCAGTGTGACTAATGAAATTTCTTTGAGTAATCTACCACCAATCCCATCCATACGAAAAAAAAATTTTTTTTTTTTTTTCGACAGACATCACACCGCATAATTATTTTCTCATTACATGTTTATATCAAGTTCCGTTATCATCTGGCCCATTCTAAATTTTTTTTTTTCCTTCATCAGGTTACCGTTATCATCTTGTCCACTTTTTTTTTTTTATCAAGTTCTGTTATCGTTTTCTATTATTTACACAACCCAAAAAAAATAAAGAAAACGCGATTGCGTGGTTGTCATAAGAATAATGACTCAGGTCCGACTTGGGTAACAGGTCCTCAAAATCTTTCAAAACGACACCTAACGTTACATTTAATTCGTCACCTGAACGTTGCGATACGTCACACTTTTGATCCGCGGATTTCTCAACGTAGGTCACGTCATCGACATCGAAACGACGAAAATTTTTTTCGGAAAGGGTGGAATGAAGGATTTCATCCTTTTCCGAATTTTATTTGTTTTATTTGTTGTTTTTTTTTTTTGTTTTTTAATCCCCCGCACCCCATGTTTCGCTTAATTAAACTCATACATCAACTAATACATCTTGATAAATTTTGTGCGAGAATAAAAAAAATTATATCCATGTTTATGATATTAAAAAATAAAGGAGATCGAAAATTTAAGGTTATGAGATGTAATGTAATCAATGTATTGCCTTTACGTAAAATCCCTATGTAATAATATCGGTTGGATCGCACGTTGCATATTGCGGGGAGACGATTCAAACAACGCTAGGACAGGTATAACGTACATGCATTAATTATAATGACCATATGACGCGATCATTGGTCTTTTGCTTCTCGCCCTCAAACGCCCATTTTGAACATCAAAAAGGTCATGCTGTGTAGTATTTTGCGATTTTTTTTTTTAAAATTTTTTGGTATCATTATTTACTGAAACAAAAAAAGGTCCAGAATTATCCGTAATTAGAAACAGTAAAAGAATAGCCATGAGAAAGGAAAAAATAAATAAAAAAAAGGTAATCAAATTAATAAATAATAATAATAATAATTTTAAGGGAGAGGAAAAAAAAAATATTTTCGGTCACACGACCATTTTTTTATTTTTTTTGGAACTTTGTGATCAGAAATTTTTTTTTTTTTCACCAAAAGGTGGATACCTGTCTCATCGTGATTGGTGATCAAGGTCGGAAGGAAAAGGAAAAGAAAGTGATTATTTTGATCCGAATATTAATTATAAAAGGCAATTGGCGGGAAATTGCTTGCTCTTACGTTTTTGACAGATACCAAATTCGGCTAATGAAATCGTTGCGTGGAAATTTAGTCTCACAGACCACAAACGAACGACAATGTCACACGACCTGAATATGATGATACAACGCAGCATTTTGTAGGATGTGCTTCATTTTCTAATTTATCCCCGACCTCCGAAATGGTTTATCCTTTAATTGCTCTTACTATGATAAAAGTATCACACGCATACTGACAACAATATGATTTTTGTTGTCTATTGTTTAATACATCTTGCTTTTTCACAAATCAAGGATTATCATCACTTGTGATTTACTTAACGTTACCATGTTTACCCATGTTTACTATTTGGTTGTTATTGGGGAAGCGACCAATCGACTCGTCGGTTATTTTTAGTTCGTCATCAGCCACCGACTCCTCCCGCACCGCCCGATGGGTGCCACCGTCACGACCGTCCCATCCGTCACGGATCTCGTTCAAGCCGCATCTAAAAATAATTTCACCATCCGGATGTCGGATATAAAAGGTAGAATATCAAAAACGGTACGGTAAAAGCAATAAATCGGTTTCGGAAACTCTCATGCGAACTTTTTTTTTTTAAAAATATAATAGTCAAAATGAAACTACTTATTTGGCTTTCAATTCTCTTTGAATGTCATACTGCATTTCATTAATGTATGCAAATATGGATTTTTTTTTTTTTTGAACCGCCGCTTGTTTATATTTTTTCAACGTCTTATGATCTCACAAGCAAAGCTCATGAGGCATAAAGCTGTAATACTCACCTTTTTTGATCTATAAATAAGAATCACCAATCATCTCTCGATACAATTTGTTCACTAGGCACTTTTTACGCAGATTCGGTTTCACCGAAATTTTTTACCCTGCAAAGGGATTTATTCTAGAAATTAATCAAGTTTTTTTTTTTTTTTTTTTCTGTCCTTGGCGGAAAATGTGCGCTTCAAAGGGAAAAAAAAAAAAATGGAGATATGAAAATGGAACAAAAGGAAACGAATAATGATAAAGAAAGTGTGTAATCAAAAAAAAAAAAATCTACTTCGCATTACATTTACATTTTTTTTTTATACGACAGGATCACTTTTTTTTTTTCTTTGTTATTCCACTAATGACGTGATTCGCTCTCTTCCACTCTTTACATATTAAATAATTTCCTATTGCAGTTTGGACTTGTTATTGATAGCGCATCGTGATTGTCTTCAGCCCTTTCGTTGGATCACTAAGCCTTAAAACGCTTTTGGCGCTATTGATTTTTTATCAAAAGATCCATTAATAGCGCTCCATTCTCACAATGATCTACCTCTCTGATAAGGTATCAATAATGTACATTCTGTAGGTTGCATTACATAATACATTAAATAAAATCTCTTTATGGTTAACAAAAATTATTTTATTCTTTGTAAAAAAAAATAATAATAGAGATCCTAAAAAAACGTTTTTTAATGAACACATTTTTCACAATAAAAAAATTAATTCCTTGTCGATCAAAATGAAAAACTGAATTGCCCTATTTTTTTTACTTTTTTATAATTATGAATTCGGTATTTCCAAAAGGAGAATTAATTTCCGAATTATTTGCTGCGTCATATGTTTGTTGGTCTAACCGCCGCGGTAAACTTTTTTTTTATCTTCTATTTTTATTTTTCAAGCGAGAGAAAATCAATCAACTTCAACAAAATTTTTAAAATTTAAAATAATAAATAAATGATTACACTTTGGAACGCGCGTTTTTTTTTTGTTTTTTTTTCTCTGGCAAAAATCTGAATTTTCGTACTTTATTGACAAAATCGAACATTTGCAAACCCAAAAACAAAAAAATTTACAAAAAAAAAAATAATATAATATAATATAATAATGAAAAAATAAGAAAGAATAAAAAAAAAAAAAAGTAAAAAAATTAAGGCAAAATTGGCAAAACGATTATAAAAAAAAATTGGCAAAATCTGAATAGGAACAAAATATAAATTGGCAAAAATCTGAATATAATAAAAATTAACGTAACTAAGAATTGGCAAAATCTGAAACGAACAAGAAATAAAAAAAAAAAATTGGCAAAATCTGAATATGACAAACAAAAAAGTGGCAAAATCTGAATATTTGAGAACAAAAAAAAATTGGCAAAAATCTGAATTATGAAGGAACAATAAGTAATTGGCAAATCTGAATATTTTAGGAACAAAAATTGGCAAAATCTGAATATTAAGAACAAAAAATTGGCAAAAATCTGAATGAGGAACAATAAAATTCGTGAACAGTAATTCGATAAAAACGTTAAATTCGTGAAATTAATGGAATTGGCGAATCTTTTTCATTAAAGAAAAAAGGCATATAAAAAAATTTGGAATTGGCGAATGGCGGTAGGTAACTAGTAGAGTCATAATTTACAAATGATGATGGATGAATTGGATTTTGAAATTAATTAAATAAAATAGAAATCACAAACACAAACAAAAAAATTTCGAAAGTTAGAAAAACGATTTAAAAATTGAGGAAATCACAAACACAAACAAAAAAAATTTCGAGTTTTGGGAAAATTAAGTTCGCGGGATGAATGATTAAAATGCCATATGTTAAAGTGTTATGGTAAATTATTGGACATAATTAAATAAGGAATATATGAACGGAAATTGAAAGCTTAAATTGTTGTTGAGGTGTTGTTATATTATTGTTAAATACTGTTTTTTTGAAGAAGTCGGAATCTTATGCTGCTATCATTTCATCAATCGTGAGAACGAAACAGAAGAAAATCCGAGAAAAGGGGAGAATCCAGTAAAAAATTTCACAAAGACAACCCACCCACAAGCACATAAACTGGTTGATTCAAAAAAACAAAAAATCCAGCACAGGAAAAAAGTGGAAAAACAACATGCTGCAAAAAATCAAGGAAACCTAGCTCCGTGTGCCGGTGCGATTCTTCCTTAGAGAATACTGTTGCACCGTTTACCAAGCTTTGTAACTTCATCATACCGATGAGAAAAAAAAAAAAAAAAAATAGAAAAGGAACCAAAAGGGGAAAGAACTAACTCTAATATATAATAATATTAAGGGTAAGGGTATTTTTTTTTTTTGTTATCCAAAGATAATAGTAGTGTTTTTTTTCTTTCGGTACTTAGGTATAGGCTCATTTGGCAGTGACCTGCGGTTGATTACATCCTTAGGAATCGCTCCATTCGACAGTGACCAGCTTCAATAATTTCAGTGATCTCTTGGAGTGTCCCTTTCCACCTGTTTAGTGTGAAGATAATTTGGTTGAGTGAATAAACAGTGATATGAACGTGTGCGTAAGCGTGTGTGTGACCCTTTTTATAGGTCTCGCCTTCCCTCTTCTCTCTTTGTTCGGTTTTGACGATGGTGAATTGAAAGAGTAGGGTTGTTGTTGCTCATAAAGCTATGATATGGGAGTTGTTTTTATTAAAATATTCGAATAATAATAGAAACATGCAAGGTAACTTTGTTGATTGTTGAAATGGAAGAGAGAAATAATAATCGTGAATTGCGAATATTTGGCAAAGCGTTGCGCAAATTATTATGGACGTAAAGAAATACTTTCGAGTGAAATTAAACAAACACAAACATTTATAATTTTTTTTTTGAGGGAATATAGTGGTAAAAAAATAGGAGAGTGGTATACAATACCAGAAAGTAATAGTGGTAAAAAACGTTATATAGAACCGTGAAAGAATTAATACACATTAAAGTGCGTGAAGGTAAAGGTAACTAACTACACAAGTGCGATGAAATACATATATAATGTATAATGTATAAACCAATATGATAAATATATAAACATCCTGAATAAACCCAAAGTTGAAAAAATGTTCATCATTATAACCTTTTCATTATGATAATAATATAATGTCCATGATAAAAAAGAAAAAAGGGGATAAAAATATAAGAAATAAAAAAAAAGAAAAAGAAAAATGTTCAAAAAATATTTAAAAAAATATTTTTTGTTGTTGAGAAAATTAAGGAAAATCGAGGTCTTAAGTACCTTTTTTTCTGAAAGGAAAAGACATGACTGGTCATCTTGTTTCTTATTGCTTTTCCTTTCTAACCTTCTTTGTGGAAGAAGTTAAAAAACGGTACTGTTCCATAACATGGAACCGCACCAGCTTACAACATCTTTGACATTAGATGCAACGTTTACACAGCGTTGTACAACTCCTGATTCTGCAGTTTCAGAATCGCCATCGACAGCCACGTGGGAACTCATATATCTTGGATCGACAAAGTTATTTTTAGAATGGGCTGATGCCTTCTTTTTGGCTGCGGCGGCTGTGTAAGCTGCAGGTGGCGTTGCGGAAGATCTGCGTTTCGGAGATCGGGGAGATGAGGACGGAGATCGTCTTGATGGATTGGATTTGACCAAAAGTGGAATTGGTGGCATTACGAATTCGTCATCATCATCATCATGATTTCCACCCAACCAAGTACCGTCCTCACCGAATAGCTGGACTTTACCGGTGGATTTGACTTGTTCTTTAGCCCATGCAAATATCTGATCGTATTGTTCAACATTCTTTCCATTTGACAAATCCTCTTCCATCTTTACGAAAAATGGGTTGCTCATTCTACGCCTCGTGGGAGAAGGTCGCATTGTGTAATGCGTGGGAGTATAATGAACTTGTTCAAGGTTACGACTGAAGCTGATTGATTTCTTAGGTTTAATGGGAAGGGGAGTCGTATGGCGACGTCCAGAGTAAGTTTTTTCATTGGCCAACACTTCACAAGCGTAAGAAACGAGGTCTTTCAAAGGATCATACTCCACGGGTTTCTTGAGGGCCGGTTTGATGTAGATTGAGGGTGAGCTTGGAGAAGAAGAATAGGATGACAGTGGTGACAATACAGGTGAAGGTGGGCAACAAGTGGCCGGTGGACTTCCTACCAAGGTCGAATCATCATCGTCTTCCATGAATGGATCATTATCTGGTTGGTAAAGAGGACCAAATAACCAAAGGATGTCGCATTCCTTTTGCCTATTGGTTTTTAATAAAGATATAAAGGTGAGTATTTTGTGTTCGTTTGTTGTTATTTGTTAAGAGAAAAAAAAAGGACAAAAAAAGAAATGAGTTGAGGGCGCGCGTATTTGTTTTGTGTGACCAATGTTTCGTAAAAGTTTCACCACATGTAAACAAGAGAGAGAGACAATCACAATAAAGCTTAAAATGAATGGTCATTGAGTAAACATTTCGTAAGACTCGCAAAAGCCCGCCAAAAATAAACCCAAAAAAAGAAAAAATCTAATCTTATCGAAGAGGAAAAGGTGGAGGACAAACAACAAGGATGCGATGTGATCAGCAGAAAGTGTCAAAAACGAAATAAAAAGTTCCGAAGGGAGTTATTGCTATTAATGGGTTCACAAATAAAAATCTTGTATTTCCATATTCAGGTTTAATCGCATAGATATACTTTGAACCAATTGATAATTGCGTCTATCCTTCACATCCCCCATAACAAAAAATTTGGGGAGCTAAAATAAAGTAGGTCACACAGAAACAAGCTGCACTACCCTGAAATAAAAAAAATATCCCAAAGTTTTTTTTCTCCACATTTTTTTTTTTTTTTTTTTTTTTTCCTCAACAATTTTCTTTCGTTTCCCCCCTTTTTTTTAATAAAAATAAAAACCTTACCATTTCAAAGTCTTTGGAGATACAAGCTTATTTCCCTTGCCAACGCAGCCAACCGCCGGGCCCATTTTTCTCCATAAAGCATTTTTCATGCGAATTAATCGTTTTTCTTCAGCACGTAAAGCGCACTCGTCCTTCTGCTGTTTGAGTTGCCTGCTAATGTTTCCTATGATTGCGTCATTTTTTCCACGCGGGGGTTGCTGTGATTTTGAAGAAACTTGGGAAACTTTTTGAGATAATGGAGCGGAACGTGAAGAACCCTTTTTGGTCCTGCTCCTTAACTTTTGTTCACTCTCTTCACGCAATTTCTCTTGAACTGTCTTGAGCTGTTTAGAAATTTCTTTGTAGGAGCTCAAAACTTCACTTTCAGTCCATTTGTGAGATTGACCGAGGTAATCAACAGATTTGGTGGCGGTAAAGGTTACTGATGGTTGTTCCATTTTTTAAATTTGGATTAGAGTACTTTTTTTTTTTTTTTTTAGGAAAATTATATTGTTCGTTACAAGAAAGATTATTATTTACAAAAGAATAAGGGGATTTTAAATGAATCGCGTGTTTTATATATGGTTCAAGGTAATGAAAAATCCCGTGACAGAAAATTTTTTTATAAGTCGGTTTTTTTTTTTAAACACTTTTTAATTTTATGACATAAAATTCATCAAATAAAAAGCGTATCTCGTTTTTGTTGTTTGTTGTTCTCTCAAAATAAATTTGTGATTAAGCCGCTAAGAAGCTTTTTCGAATATTGTTTTTTTCTTCAAACGAGAATTGAATCAAAATAGTTGCGGTTTCTTTCAAAGATTATATATATACTAAAAGTATACAAATCTTTACACATAAAAATGAAGATAGAGGAGAATGATTTGAAAAGGAAGAAAAATTACTTCTAACTTTTCGGAATAAATAGAGTAGAAAACGTAAAAGCAGAAAAAAAAAAAATTTAATATTTTTTTCGTTATTGGAAGTGACCACGATAGGGTCTTTTTTATAAGAAAAAAAATTTTTTTTTTCAGATTTTCTTTGTTTTTATACCAAAGAATTTTTTTTTTTTTTTTGTGTGCAGTTTAATTTTAAGTTGGTAAATAAAGTTAAGGCTTTTTGGCTTTTGTATTATGTAACCTCAACTATTTAAACTTTTTGTTTTAAATATATTACGTATAAAAAAAAAAAAAAAAAAAAAAAATTTTTTACTTTACATGTTACATACTACATATAATGTCATAATAAAAAAAAAATTCTTTTCTCTTTAATAAAAAATAATTTAATGACTTGATCCATAAATAGTTAACACAGGTTCAAACTATTGTTTACATTTCAGTAAAACTAAAAACTTTAACTAATTTACAATCATCCAAACTTAAATTTCCTATTATTATTTATATATGTAACAGTAACAATTTATTAATATAAAGAGAGGAGAAGGTGATGGGGGGGAAATGGAATCTACCGATGATTTTTTTTTTTTTTTTAAAAAAAAAAAAAAAAACCCCCCATCAATCAAAACCTTTACAGACAAGGCACAGCGGTTTTTTTTTATTATTATAATGACAATAAAATGGTTTCATTCGTACAAACATTATTTTATTTTATTTTACTTCCTTTATTTCTTTCTTTTTATTATTATTATGATTATTTTTATTATTTTATATATTTTTAATAACTTTTTGGGGATAAAAAGAAGGGTGATAAAAAGGAATGGCGATTGGTTTGTGGACTCAATTTGTGTTGGTGTAGCAAATGAAAAAAAAAAAGTTTACCAACCAACCACATACGACAAAAAAAGAATAAATGTTACCCTCAATAATATATACATCCCGTGGGAATTTAGAATAGTATCACGTCTTGGGTTAGGAACGCCAATGCCGTTTTCGATGGCTGTTTCTTAAAAGATTTTGACGCGAAGAATGCGCAATACCATTTTTGGTGATAAGTTTTGTTTTATTTTTATTTTTTCCTTAATAAAAAGAAATTACAAATAAACGATAAAATAAAAGGGTAAAGAAGGGATTCCAAGATTCTATGACAGAAAAAAAAAAAAAAAAAATATAAAGTAAATATTCCATAAAACAAACACTTGTGGTTAGACGCGAATAGCAACCGGAGTCCGGAGTAACCAGAATAAATTTATTACAATATGAACCCTTTGACCTCTATTTACGTAGTTGTTGACAAAAAAAAAAAAAAAATAAAAAATAATAAATGAAAAAAAAAAATTTTTTATTTATATTGCAGGGTCACATTTGTTTATATTTTACATATTTTTACACATAATTCATAAATTAATAAATTACAATACATTATAATATTTGTAAAAAAAAAAATCTTGAATCTGATATCTAATATCTGATAATGATTTGACGTTTTATGTTATCAGAATGTACTGCTTAAGTTCCAACCCATACTAAAACCGGTCAATATTAATAATCTTCATCGAATGAGCTTTATATGTGACCATTAACGTAGGTAACCAAAATAATTACACAAGGAATTTTTTTTCGTTATTATCAAACTGCTTCTTTTAAGACTTCAATGATAAATGTTCGCTCACTATGACTTCCTTGTTCCCGAATCCCCTTTCACTTTCTCTTCACATAGAATTCCATCATCCCAACCAAAAGGTTGCTCTCTTTGTTACTCTGATCTTCTAGCCTTGGATTTCACCGCAATACGTCATTTGCATACACATCCAAACATTTGTCCAAATATTGACATGCACCGAAAAAAAATATATATATATATATATATATATATTTTATGATTATACAAAATAAATCTGATAAAAGCGTAAATCAAATCAAAAAAAAAATAAACTTCAAATAAATATGAAGGTGGGGAAAAAAAAAAAAAAAGAATTGTAACCAATCTAACATGCAAAATAAAAGAAACAATAAATATTATGCATGTACAAGGTCGAATTGACAAAGTGGTCATTAAAAAAAAAAAAAAAAAAAGAAGCAAGATAATATTGTGTGTTAGGTAAACAAAACAGTACATTTTATAATAAATTAAAAAAAAATCTCCTCTTCATTGATTATTCAATAATCCGAATTACACAAGATAAAAAATTAAAGTAAATTGAGTGAAAAATTGGAAAAACAAAAAAAAATGGGGTGTATACAATTGACAGGTTTTAAACTCTGTGTATCATTAATTTTAATTTTTTTTTTTTTATTTTATTTTTTAAGGTAATAATTTCGGAGACTTTTTTTTATTTGCCATGAATAATATATAATGGTTATAATGGTAGGGGATACCCTCAATAAGTTCATTATATAAGCAGACCTTTCATTGTTCGAAAAATTTGTCGGTCGCCAATGAATGATGTTTGATGAATGCTATGTGACAGGTGACATGGAATTTGAACAAAAACTCCATCCTAAACTAGAGAAGCTCCGATGTGGTCAATGTATGCTGGCTGTATGCGTTGTTGACCAAAAGGTCGATTATCTGCTGGCTTACATAACATCAGCCATTCCAGAAATATATTTATGTTGCTTATTTATTTTACGCCAAACTACGCGAACGATTTTGATCTTTATACGCGATAAAAAAAAAACTTTACTGCAACATACTTGGTGATATCCTGATGATAAACCTGTAATATCGAGATATTTTCTAACCAATATCTCTAAATTTATCGAATTTATCAATAATCCTCTCACACTTTCTTTGATCTCAGGGTAAACTGACCAAGATTAAATTGGACTTATTGAATTGGTCTATCCAAACAATCTTTTTTTTCATACATGAATTGCCAAATTTCCGATTAAAGTAAAAATGATCATACAAATGTTTGAAACGTTTTGACGGCGAATGGGCCACCAAATGTTTAATAGATTTTTGGATACAATAACTTGTTGAAAAACCAACTATGAGAGGAAAGAGGTTGAAATCGTCGAAATTTTGGACAGGTTCTGTGGGAATATGGTTATATATACTAAATTCTTTTTGAACTTCATGAAATTCTTATCAAGTCACAAGGTACCGCACAAATTTGGTCAAGCCTTGGAAGGAAAGGAAAAAAAAAAAAAAACAACAGAGGGAACAATAGTAAAAAACAATTGTACAACAAAATAAGCATATTTATGGAATTGATCACATAAAAAAAACAATCGTTTTATTATTCCATTATTGACAAAGTGAAAACCCGTTTTTTTTAACAGATTTAATTTTTTTTTTTTCCCTTTGCTTTCGTTTTTACTTGATTTTGTTAAACTTGACGTTACGCAAAGGAAAAAAAAAAAAACGAGAACGTTGTACCATCCTTTAATGTTGCGTCAGTCGATAACTGTTTGTTGTTCTTCACTAATTATAGTATCACCTTTTTCCCAGGTGCAAATCAAATTCTTATTTTGATAGTCAAAAAAAAAAATAGGTATTTCCTTCTGCTAAAATCTATTTAATAAAAATAAGTTTTTTAATATTTTTTTTTTCATTTACTTACCTTTCAGAATAATTGTCACGATCAACCTAACAAGCTTACCATAAAAGAATTCTTTTTTTTTAGTCCTTTTTTTTTTGTAAAAAATTTGTTCTCGGTCAGTTCTGAGTCATTTTCCTTTTAATTAGGTTAACTGAATTGGCAGATATGAAATGCAAATGTCGGGTGCTTTGAGGGTACCTTTGAGAATGCCTTTGAGAATGCATGCACTTTATGGTCATATCATAAGAATGACGAATTAAATGCGCCAATTTATTTTTTATATTTCCTTATTCGAACTAGTTACACTTGCATTTTTGGGAGCTGCGGCGCATCGTTGGTGATAACCTGTTTGGAACCTGTTTGGAACCTAATAGGTAATTACGAACCATAACCATTTTTTTTTTTTAATAATTCGAACTAACTTCATTATATATATACTTTGCAGAATGCATCTTTTTCGACATTTTTGACATATCATCATTCATTTTTCTCTTTCTCCATGTTTCTTTGTTCCAATAAAGGAAAAAAAGAAAATGTTTGTTAAGAGAATGTCGCGTTGGGAAAATCCTCAACAGGTGCCAAAAGGAAACGACATTTTTTTTTCACCGACGGTGTTACCTAATTCCGGTGGTTTAATCCGAAAAGATAAAATAACGTGTTTTTCTTTTGACGCGCTCAATTCTTCTAATTTTTTTTTTTTTCCCCGGTTTCCGTAAATTAAAAAAGGATGTAATAACGTCACATATGCACCTAATAATATCTAGATTTCCAATATGTAAGAATGTTATAATTAGATTGATAATTGAGAAGAAAATCACAAATAATGTCACATTGTGACCCAAATATTGTCAATATTGTCTTAACAACAGTTCTTTTTTAAAAAATTTTTATTCCAATTCAAGTATTGATTGATTATTTACATAAATAAAGAAGTTAAATAAATTATTATTTTTAAAAATGTTACATTGGTGAAACCTTTCTTTCAAACTTTCAAAATTTAATGCTATTCCAAGAAAAGAATCTGTCAAAAAAGTAAACAAATTTCTATTCGATGCAGGTTCCAAAAATTAGGATTTTTAATTGAATCATTTAGTTTTGAAATTTACTTTAATTATCTTAACAGTATAAATCCTTATAATAAAAAATTCTTTTGAGGGAAAATAAAGTTTTTGTTCTGATGAAAACCTTAATGTTTCAAACCGGTTTTTTCTCTTGTTACGCCTAAATACAAGAGCACATTATTTAGTAAACAGGTCATCTTACCTGTTTTAACCTATTACATACGTTTTTACATAACTTTTTGGGGAAATAAAAATTTGTTTACGATTTTTTTTTTTTCCAACTAATAAAAAAAAAAAACGATTTCTCGAAATCATTTTAAACATAATAACCCTTTTTTTTTTTTTCATTTGAAAACTTTGTGATAGGTATATTTTTGTTGTTGCTTCGAATGGTTAAAAAAGATTCCAAAGTTTTATGATCATTCCCTTTTTTTTTGTTTTAAGGTTTCAATTAATACAAATTTAAAACTTTGTGATATTTTGTAGTAATTAAAACTTATTATCATCTATTTTGGTGAATTGGCGTCATAAAGTTTTTAAGTGAGGCGCTAACAGAACAGAAAAAAAAAAAAAAAATAAAAAAAACCAACCAAATTTGTCAGAGATAAAAAATTTTTTTTTCTCCTCTATTTTTTTCCAACACTTTTTTTTTTTTTTGAAATAAAAATTATTTTGATAAACAAGATATTCCAAACATTTCTTCATTTAGTAAGGTTCAAGAATAAAGAAATAAATTTAATTTGAACAGGTGAACAAATAACAAAGGAATTTTAATTTTTTTTTTTTTTTTTTACAAGGAATTTTTTTTTTTTTTTTTGTTTACAAATATTTACACTTTTTTCATTACACAAGAGCGTTATTGAAAAAAAATGTAGGGACATTTTTTTTTTCTTTCTGAATGACGATATCTTTTGACCTTAGCTTGCCTCTTGCTTTTTTATTTACCATTACCTAACCTACATCGCCCATCGCCCAGCCAAGTAAATTCGTTTGTTTACATGGTAAACGTTTTAACGGACAATGAAACACCCCATCAAAAATTGATATTAGGCTTTTACGTTCCCTTTTAATTCGTGCGCCTAGTTTTTTTTTAGGTTTTATTTAAATCATTTTTGGAATTCTTGTAATCTGAGTAATTCCCTCAACGACAATAAGATACGCCGACACGTAATAAGAATCTTTGTTTTAATTGTTCAAAAGTTTGACAACAAAAAAAAATATATATATTAGAAATTTTATTTCACATTTTAAAATGAACCTTTGAATGTTCATGATAAAGAATAAACAAATGATCCATCTTTGAAACAAGTTTTTTTTTTTAACAATGAAATTTTGATTTTTGATTCTTTTGCATCAAAGAGAGACATTGAAAATAATAATTAATATTTCCTAAAAGAAGCAATGCCGCGGGACAACAAATGCCAAACAACAAAATATTTTTTTTTTGACGAAACGTTTTGTTCCTCGTATGAATGTCTAGAAAATAGTAGGATTATCATTAAACAGATTTATTGATCCGGAATCACAAATCAAGCAAAGGAAAAAAAAAAGTGAAACACATACTTTTGTCCAGGTGATCATGTCAAATCAGGTGACATGTCGTGGTTCAGGTGATCTAATGTTTATTTCGACTTACCACCCGAGTCGAACCTGAGTCAAAAAGTTGTTTTATTCGTTCAATCCCAGTACAGCTACCACACATCATGAAGTTCCATAACAAAGCCGGGGTTAACCGCGTATTTTATAAATTCTTATTTACCTTCGCGAATTTAGTTTCATTGATTGCAATAGTTGGTTTAGTGTACCTGTTTGATTGCCCTTTACGCGACTTGCAATTTGTTTACATCTTGGTAAACCTTTCGTGGTCGCTTGGCTGAAGCAAGTAGGAAAATAATAATAATAAAGCAGATCTTTCTTTGATTTTTTTTTTTCCATTCTCATATTCCATTTTTATAAAGGGGTTTATTAATGGGGTGAATACATGGTGTGTTTGAGAGTTTAATGTTTTGAGACTTGATCTGTCTAATTACGGGTCAAAATTTTCTTTTTAACTCATATTAAAAAAATCACTTTATATTTTGTTTTATTTTGTTTTTTTATTTGGGGTTTATACAGTGAATATATATAGTTACCCCATTCTTATTTGTTGTTATTTATATTAATGTATTTGCAATCCTTATTGTAAAAAAAAATAACACCCCCCCCCCATTCACAAAAAAGAAATTCCGACTTGGGGTGTTCGCATATCTTTTGTCATTGAATGATTTTGTTTTCCGATTCGAAGTAATTAATTATTTTGGGAAATGTTTGAAATGCAGGTAATTGATCACGGGATACATCACGAGGCACATCGTACGTTTAAGATTAATTACCATTTTATTTTTTTTTTTTTTTCAATCAAATCATGACATCTTAAACGCATCAACACATCAAAAAAGAATGTTTGACCAAGGTTTTGATCGAATAGTCTAGAAATTTGTACCCCCCTCGATTGCATGAAACTTAGATTTCAATTTTGGTTATGCAGTTCACGCGGTTGGATGTTTGTTTCAAAAAAAAAAAAAAAAAAAAAAAAAAAAAAAAAGGTAGTGTTCCACCTCAATAAAATGATCATCGATTCTTTCAATGTAGGTAATAATTTCGTAATGTTTTTTTTTTTTTTTATAAACTTGGAAATTTGATTAGATGAGACCGTTATTAGAGTGTGTAATCATGTCAAGTTTTTTTTTTTTTTTTAAAAAAAAAAAAGCCCATTAAAAAAAAACTTGTAAATTGCGGATCTCGTTATTTCGGTATTCAAAACAAAAAAAAAACTCCCCCAATTTTTTTTTTTTTCTCTTTTTTGATGTCTGAAATGAGAGAGTGTGTATATCATGGGGTGATACAATTGTAAATATTCCAATTCCTTATTGTAAACAAAGATGTTTGTCAAAAGTAAAGAAGAACTTTATCCTCATTGTGCCCTCTTTTTTGTTGAACCTTTTTAAAGTTCATCATTATTATTTTATTATTATAATAAATTTTTTTTTTTTTGACACTTAAATATTCCCCATAAAAGTTAAAAGTGCAGATCACTCCGCATTTCATTGAAGTGAGTTTTTTATCAGATTCAACTACCCAATTACAAAAAATCATTCCACTTGGGATGAGTGGCACTGGGCGGTTTGAATCAAATAGGGCCCGTCCCGTAGAAACTCGGGTAATCGTCCGTATTAGGAGGAGGGAAGGAGGGAAATTACAAGTTAAGACGAAATTCGTACATGTTTATTGCCAAATTAAAAAAAAAATTCGATTGATGCTGCGGTACAATAATAATTTTTTTGTGGGGTAAAAAGGCAAAAAATAAAGAAGAGTGTATCAGTTGCCTATTATTGGACTTATTGGAATAACATTTGGTTGATACTTTTTTTTTAAAGTTCTAATTTACTCGATTTGGTAATCGAGTTTTCCTTGTTCATGTATGTTAAATGCTATGCAAAAGCAAAAGCAACCTATTTACGCAATTACAAATTACTTCATTACATCACGAGACTCAATGTTTTGTTGACGCGCGCATATAATTTTCGACCAATTGACGTAATGATGGTGGTCAAACCTTAAGGAAAAATTGTCGCGCCTAATAAATTGAAATCATTCCCTAAATGAATTCCTAATCGTTGATCCCAAACAGGCGTAACCTACTTGCTTACTATAATAAAATTAGATTATTATTATTCTAACGATTGTAACTTTGGTTAAACTGTCAATCCTTTTTTTTTTTTTTAAGGAAGTACGTACAAAAGCTATTTCCATTTATTACATGCATCAGAATTGGGAAATTGTTTGAGTAAATGAATACTTATCAATGAAGATTTTTACAATAATGATCATCTATCTTTATAGATTTTATTGCACTATCATTATCAATTTTGTTTTGATGTTTATGCTTACATCAATAAATCATTCACCTTTTAAAAAATGGAAAACGATTATTTATCATCTATACGATTTATTTCTTAATCTATATGATAGTTGGCTGAATATGGCTTGTTATTCTCGATTAAATTTCTTCGTTAAATTTTCTCCCACGCAGAAAAGGTTTGCATAATTATGTACCCCTGTGGTGATTTATTGAAAGATGATAAACAAATCAGTCTGAACTACATTAAAGATTGTCAATCTACATCAAGAAAGGTACTTTTATAAACCATAATTTTTATTAGATCTTTGAAACAAAGGAGTTTGATGTGATAACTTTATTTGATTATCTCTTTTATATACATTTTGTCCTATTGAAAAATACTTTATAAAGGTTTTGACCAATTTGTCACGTGAGCTTGCGTCACTCGAACTACAAAAGGCGGTCCAAAAATTTTTTTATTTTACGTAAAAATAAAACAAAAGAAAATAAATAAGAAAAAAGAAAAAAAAAACGAGAATGAATCAGGAACTATGCCAATAAAAAATGCAAAAATGCCAAGATTTATGTGTAGGGTAATGTGTATTTTTTTTTTTGAATCTCAATTTTGGATAATGTTCAAATGTATTCAAAATCTGAAATGATTCAACTAAAAAGTTCGATGCAAATAATTTATTCCCTAAGGAGAGCATGCACAATATGTCCAACTCTCATATTCTTTAAATCTGTATAAGTTTGTCCGGTTCCAACAAATAATATCGGTTGCCCCGTTGTGTAAGTCATCGATAAAGCCGCACCAACCTATCAAAAAAAAATTTTGGATCATTAATCGTTATATAGATGATTTCCATAGAATTTCCAAAGTATCTTTAAAAAAAATCTTAACGATTATCATATATCAACAAACCTTATCATCAATTGTGTCAAATTTCGTCAAGATCATTCCATCAATTTGTCGCGGATTTTGCAATCCAGAAAAATCTTTCAATGCTTGATTGAATTTTGTAAGTTGGTCAACTGCTTCATTCCCAACTAAAGCTTCGCCAACGAATATTATTTTATCTGGATTATTCACAGATACCAGCTAAAATAAAACAGGGCGAACAATTTATTAAAAAGATCGCATAAAGATATGTCGCAATTAACTTCATTAAATTCAATACCTTCGCTAACGCACGCATTAATGGTTCATTGTCCTGCATACGTCCTGCCGTATCGATCAATACGACATCAAATTTATTTGCTTTTGCTAAGGGTAAAGATATATCTTTGCATTAAACAAATATATTCAAATTATCAGCTAAAACAAAAATCATATAATCATATCCAAGAAATACCATAGTTGACTGCATCTTTTGCTATCCCGGCAGCATCTTTGCCATATCCACGTTCATATAATTCAACAGTTGAATTTTGGCCCAAAGCATTCAAATTTCTAACATGCACTCTTAATTGTTCTACGGCACCTGATCTAAAAGTATCACACGCTGCAATGAGGACCTTTAATCCATTTTGTAATAACCAAAAACAAGTCTTCGATAGATTTGTAGACTAAACAAGAGAAGCGCATTTAATTATTAACACAAATATAACTTTTTTTTTTTTAAAAAAAAAAAAAAGATTCGCTCACATTATGGGCCACAGTCAAATCCGCCAATAAGAAGCGCTCGTTTTTATCAACTTTGAATCCGTAATATGGACCAAGGCCAACATTCACCACTTTAAAGCTCCATACCATATCACGATTGTCTAGCTTAAGGTTGCAATCACGGTGTTTACATACCTTTTTACGTGATACGATTAATGGAAGCTTATCTAACTCATTACCAGTGATGGTTGTATAAAAATATGGTGCCGTTATATTATTTGAAACCTCTTTCATTCTTCTCTTAACATTGATGGAACAAAATCCTGATAAATTGGCCAAATTACGAACTTGTTCAACGATGTTACATCGCTTCTGTGGAGATTGGTAGATATACTCGTAAGATCCCTTCTGTTTTTCTAGTAAATGCCCGCCAATATCTAAGATTCCGGCAAGGAGAGGCAAACGAACCTATAAACCAAGAAAGTTGAATAAAAGATTATGAAAAAGGCAACCTTATGTAATATAAAGATATATCAAACCTGATCGAGTTCATCGGTCATAATGACTGGTGGTACTTTTTTAGCATCCAAAATATCGAGCATACGGAGAAGACGTAAGAACTCGCTTTCAAAACCGCTACCATGAATAAATGAAATTCTCTGTTGTTCTTTATTTGAATTATCTTTAATACATTTCCAATTCAACGTTTCACCATATTTTTCCATCGCCTTCACTATTTCAATTTCATTCTCGTTGACACATATTGTTGGCGAGGTTTCAAGTCCATTACTAATCCATGCACCAACGAGCCAAGCAGCAGCTGAAATCTGAGAATCCGTAGGATCAATCCCAAGAATTTCGCTTAAAATAATACGAAATTTTCCTTGTGCTACTTTAAAAATAACTTTGCTTGGTTTAAACATAAGACAATTTCGTCGTACATCATATGACGCGGTTAAGAAATCCTTGACCGGTACCTCCCAAATAAAATCTGTTATTGCGAGATTGGGTTTTCTCGCCATATCTTGTATCGCTGCTTTCTTAGCTGCTTCTTTTTTAAGATAAAGTTTTCCAGGACCGTAATAGTAAGAATCGGTCTTTTTAACTATCATATTGTTCACCTCGTCATATTCATACCAGAAGAGACGAATTCTGGGGTGAAATCCAGTGATAGGAATTTCACCACTTTGTATGAATGGGTTAGCAGCGAATTTAAGCACTAGGATATGCTGGTCGTTACATTCGAAAGGTTCGGCCGGACCTTTATCATTTGGGAAAATACGATACATGCTGCCTTCACCTCTGGTAGTAGATTGAATAGTCCTTGGGCTGTTATCATCTCCCATAATTTGATTACCAACAGTGAGCTCTTCAACATTTTTGTATGTACCATCGTACATTAAAAATTTGGTCCCCCTTGCAAAGCATTTACCAACACCTATAATAATATGAATTGTCAATATATACTTTTTTATTTAAATGAAAAGTTATCACATAAGGAATTTCGAAACCCACCATTTACTCCAATAAAGCAAATTGTATAAGGACGTGATTCAGATTGAGCTTGTGCAATATCACGTAACAAGTCAACTGATGTCTTTGGTGTGAGTATTCGTTTTAATGATACTTCCATAGATTGTTTCACAGTTGATTGAATGCCTTTTAATTTGATTTAATGGTAATTTATTAATTGACGGATTCACTTAAAACAATAAATATACCGACTTTAAAAAAACTTACTCTTAAAACTTCCAGTCTTTTGCCCTACAAGATTTCTTGCAACAGAATCACATAAATGAGTTGCAATGTCAGCTGCGACATTTTTTTTAATTAAATGTTCCTTCATTTTTGCTAATGCCGGAACAAGATCTTGTTGTGTAATTTCTTTTTGTCCAGTGATGTTCCTGAAAAATGAAAACACGCTAGATTGACTATCATTTTTGTTTGATTCTTCATTTTCTTCGTCATAATCATCCTCCTCTGATTTATCACTATCATTTTGACCCAGATCCTGCACTTCATAATGTCCGTCTTGAAACTGTCCAAATTGGTTTTGATCAACCAAATTATGTGTATTTACTGCCGATGACCTATCTGTATCGTCTTTGTTCCCACTATAATCCAAACTTTCCATTTCATCTTTTGAAATTTTGTCTTCCCATGTACGCAATGTTTTCTTTCTAGTTGGCTTTTTATCACTTTGATATATTCGATATAATAAAAATTAATACTACAATTATAAATAAACCGAATGTAACGCATCTATTTGTATTCGCTTACTCTGATGAGGACTCATTGGACGGTTTGCTACTTCTAGATTTAGTTCGTCCACCACGGCCTCGAGTAGGCTTTCCACGAATTGCTTCAATATTGCGGGCAATTTTATCATCACTGATGATGGGGATCGTGGGTGGTTTTGTTATATCATTCACACCTAAATATAAAAAAAAAGTTATCTTTAAGAAAATTTATCTTCTAATGGATCAAACTTATGTTATTATGAATCAACTCACTAAGTTTCTTCGATCCTTCAATTGTTTCTTTAAATTTTTTAGTTTGTTCAAATGGTCGCGGTTTAGATAATTTATCATATCCCTAAAAAAGATAATTCAAAATACGACACAATTAACTATCTACATATTTAGAGATTTGAACAAAGAAAATTTAAAACCTTCGAATCTTTTTCTTCGATATTATTGAATATTGTGTTGAAATCATCATCGAATGCATATTTGTGAATACTACTTGTGTTTCGAATATGTTCAGCAAATTTATCACAAAAGAATTTCTTAACGGTAGCAAGAAGTTCCTCAATATATGCAAGTTGAAGAATTTTCTGATAAGCAGCCTAAATGGTTATCAAAAATGTAAGTTACAAGTATAAAAATCTAAAGAGTCGTGGTTAGCATTGTTGTAATGTCTTAAGTCAAGCTCAAACCTGTAAGTATTTAATTCAAGCCAACAGTACAACTCACTTTATTGGACATTTACCACAAAAATAAGATCTAATTCGTTTGCGAATGTCCATTTCAAGCTATAGGAATCTTTAATATAGCTGTTTTCACCGGCTCTCTCTTCAATCAATACATCCTTAATCAAGGCATCAACCGGAGAAGACGTAATGCGAGTAAAAGATTTCGACCAAAGAACAATTCCACCTTTCGTTAAAATTGTAAAGAAATCAAGCATATTGTGTTTTGAAGAAAAAAACAATCATTTTTTTAAAATTTAATTTTATCAAAATTTTGAATACTAAAATGGGGCAATCGATGATTGGTTGAAATATGAATGATCTGCGTAATCAACAAAATATTTATGAGTGTGGGAAGAATCCGTTATAGAAGAAATTATAAAATATCATCAAAAATCTATATAATAAACTTTTTGATAAGATTGCTTATCTAAACCTATTTTGGATTTACTTTTTAATTAATTATAGATAGATAATATTTTCAAAATAAACTTAAAAATGTATGCTTTTTAATAAATGTTAAAATTCATAAAGTTTTTTTAATAATATAAAATTAATAAATATAATAAAGTTTAGCTTTTTATAAATAAAATATTTTTAATCATTATTTTTAATAACAGATATAAATATTTATAATAAAAATAAACCAAAATTTGATTTTAAAGTAATATTCAAATCTAAATTTATTTTAACTAAAAAAGTTATATTTAATATATAAAGTAAAATTAATTTTTTTTTTTATATTTTTAATAAATTTTTAAATTATAATTTATATTTAAATTAATATTAATTTAAATTAAAGATATTATTACAATCAGTTCTTTAAAATGCTTATAAGTGATAAGTAATGCGATGATTTCAAATAGTAAGTAAAAGGTTTGATTTTTATAATTAAATTAAAAGTAGTATTGATCAATAAACAAATTTTTAATAACAATAATAATGAGTATTGCTTTAGTCAGTATTCTGTATTATATAAATATATTAGGAAAATTAAAGTAAAGTATCTAATAAAACTATTTCTAAAATATACTACTAAGATAAAAGAAAACTTTTTTATTTATAAAAAATGAAATACATAAAGTTATTAATATAATAAAAAAAAATAAATATAATAAATAAAATAAATATAATATAATAAATAAATAATATAAATATAATAAAATAAATATAATATAATAAATAAATAATATAAATATAATAAAATAAATAGAAATAATATATTAAATAGAAAAAAATAAATGGTATAGATAACATACAAAACATACAAGACATAAATAATTTTTTACTAATCATTATCATCTTTTAGATCATTATGATCAATATCTTCTCTTATGTAATAATATATAATAATTTTTGAATTAACATATTTTTAATAATTATTTATTTATAATAAATATTTTACTTAAATTTAATAAAGTTTTTTTTTAAATTTAAAGTTAAATCAAATTTTAAATTTAATATTTTATAAATATTAAAATAGATTTTAATAAATATATATTTTGAATTAAATTTAATTTAATAAATAAATAAGTAAATTTTTTATATTAAATTAATTATTAAGAAATTTAATACAATTATGTTTTCATATAATTATGCAATTAGATACAAATAAAATATATACTTATATTATAATTAATCTGATAAAAATATTTAAGATTTTTTAAAAAATCAATTATAGGTAGTTTAAATTTTTTGTATTAGTAATATTTATAATCAAAAGAATAATAATATAAAATTTATTCTAAAAAAAATTTAATTATTTTTTTTTTTATAAAAAATAATAAATAATAAAATTATTTTTTTATTTACTTACTTATTTTATACCTAAAGTAAAAGCAGATAAAAAAAGTTTTTAAAGATACATTATTTACTTTACTATAAATAATATTTACAAATATTATTATGCCTTTTGAATTTTTATAACTAATAATTTGAAAAAAATATATTTTCATGAGGAATATTAAATCATTATACAAAAAAGATCCTTTTTTAATTATTATTTTTAGATTATAAGCATTTATATTTTTTATTCATAATCCTAATTTGTGAATGTTTAACTTTTTAATGATAAAAAATTTTTGTATTATTTGATAATGAAAAAATACTAATTATTTATCTTATTTTAATAATCTTAAAAATTATTAACTTATCAACATTTAAGTTTTCATTATATTTATTAAAATATATTACCAATTTATTATTATGCTTTACTTTTATTTTTTAGATTTTATAATATACATACATATTTGTTATTTTATATCATCATTTATTACAGAATATAATTTTTTTAAACTTAAGTATATAAAATATATAAAAAGGTAAGAATGTAAAAAGAATAAAATTTTAAAAGTTAATAAAATATAATAAAAAGAAATGTATTTATTAATTATTTTTAATTTAATTTTATACAATCAAAAATATTTATTAAAATTAAATTAAATTATTTATTATAATACTAAAAAATAAAATTCAGATTTTTTAAAAATTTTTTTCAAAAGTTGTACTAAATCTTTGTAAAATAAATTAAAATATATTTTAATAAGTACTTTATTATACAAGTTATATTATTATATATATTGATAAGTTAAAATTAAATTATATTATTTAGGATAATTTTAAATTTTTTTTTATTTTAATTTTATTTATTTATATATTATAAAAATTATTATTAATTATTTTAATAGTTCTATTATTAAATATAAAGTAAAAAATCTTAATAAAATCTTTTATATAAATAATTTAATTTTTTATGTAATAATATGGGATTTTTGCAATAGAAAAGGGAGAAATGACTGGAAAAAATAAAAATTGAGTTAATGCTAAATCTGAACATATTTTGACTTAAAAATCATATTTGGCATATAAAAGTAAAATTGATTTTTTCCGGCAGTTTCCCCCCTTTCTATTGCAAAGGTCCCATATAATAAAATAGTGATATAATAATATTATATAGATTAATTAACACCTCTTATATTGATATTGAAATTTTATTAAAATTATATTAATAATTCACATTATTTTTATAATTTTGACTAATTTGTAATAAATTTTTGTTAAACTTGTATTAAAATTGCTTATTAATTTTTACTAAATTATATTAAATATTTTTATCTGAAGTATAGCAAAAAATACTTCTGTTACAGTCAAAACTACGTAATGTCTATCTGTTTATTACAAATTGACTAATCAAAATTTAAGATCAGGTATAATATAAATATGTATCTTTTAATCAATTTTTCTTTATATAATACTGTGTTAACAAATTAGAATTATATAAAATCAAATACTGTATTAAATTTATTTATTAAAGTAATATAAATTAATGTTTTAGATGTACAATAGTTCTTATTTCATAGTTTATAATAATTTATATTAATACTGAAGTAATGATTTGTTATTATTAATCTATTTCAATTATCTGATATATAATATTTATTAATTTTTATATATAATATTTAAATTAATCTAATGATATAAATAATATAATACACAATTATAATATAATGCTTAAATTATTATTTTGACTTTTTGTTTTTAATACAAAAAAGAATTTTGATTAAAAGATTTCTTATTGAATTATTTCAATTATAAGTTTCATTTATTATATTTAAATTAATCTAATTTTATAAATAATATAATATATAATTATAATATAATAAGTAAATTATTATTTTGATTTTCTGTTTTTAAATATAAATTAGAATTTTAATCAAAAAGATTTTTTATTATATTATAATTATTACAAAATACTGACCTTGATTATAATCTATCAGCTGAATGATACCTACATATCAGTGATACCCATCAACTACAGTTTCAACACAAGTCTTCACACTTACCTATATAAATGATATCCTGTGGATCAGTAAATCTAAGGATGATCTTGAATTGTTCTTAACAATAGCTAATGATTTTTACTAACTCAATAGTATTCTAGTTAACTGGGATAAATCTGTATTACTTTCTTCAGTACTGATTGCATCATCTATATACTTTAGACTAATGTATAATAAAGAATGGATTAAACTAATGGATCTCAAATCATCCACTCATTATCTAGATATTAAGATCTCTTTCCTTCTAAACTGCCAGTTTATAAGACAACAAATAAAAAATGAAATTTATAATGTTACCTTAACAATCAAAAAGAAATTCCTCACAGATAAACAACTTAAAGTAGTCTTCAACTCAGTCCTATTGCCAAGAATTTTGTATCGCATCCAATTAACATTTCTTAACTAAAAATTCTGTGATCAGATGATAGGATCGTATCAAAAAATTTTTAAATCAAACCTTTATTTATCCAAAAGTACTCCAGCAGCCATTATTTATTCATCACTATTTTATAACATTACACACCTATATTCAGCGCAACTTCAAGCAAAAATTTCTAACTTCATTAAATCTATCAATGACAAAGATCTATTAGGCACTACATCTCTGATTCGCTCTAGATTGCTCTAAAATAATGAATAGCTTATTAAATCACCTTTAGCATTCTGGCCGTATGATGATTTTTTCAAATTTAAAGACTGGTGGTCTGCTTTACTCTCTGCCCTAAAATCACTCAATATTACCATTTCTAATAGTAATACTGATGATAATTGTATAAAAGGAGGATATTTTCCCTATATGAAATTTTTAACAAAACAGATTATTGTACCTTTACTCTAGTCTATAGAAGCAAAAAACTTATGTTTCTTGACTAATTACAATATCAGATAGTGCAGCACTCTTCATATTACCTGACCTCAAATTTTCAGCAGCTCGTCTGGCAATTCCTAAGGCCCCTACTTGGTTTCTCAAATTACAATTATTACTCATATTATCACCTAACACAAAAATTATTTTCTCAAATTATCATCATTCACATACTAATAATATATACTCAATTTCTCTGACTCATATTAAAAGTACTACATACTTTGCTATAGATTAGCATTTAAACTCCCATTCTGCTATAATCAGCAAGGTACTCAGAATCAAAAATGATATAGTTCACTTACAACATTTTAATGCATTGTCAGACAAATTTCAAAACATTATTATTACCATACACTAAATATTCTCTCAACAATGATTCTTTCTTTATTTCTTTTAATATGAGAAATAAACATAAAGTTTGCTTTGTGATTCTTCCTTTACACTTGTATACTGATATCAAAGCTCCTCTTCTTCCAACTGTTAGCCATATCTGTTCTTTGTTCCCTTATAT